GAGGGCGGCCGGAGGGCGGCGGGAGGGCTGCAGAGGGCGGCGGAGGGCGGCGGGCTGCAGAGGGCGGCGGGAGGGCGGCGGAGGGCGGCGGAGGGCAGCGGCGGGGGAGAGCTGAGCACCGGAAGGCGCCGTCGTCAAGGGCGAGGGGCTTGTCGCTGGGGAAGTCCAGCTCATGACGCAGCGGCAGCCGCGTCGCCTCCTCCACGCCATCCCCACCCGCGCAGGCCTGCAGTGCGTCGATCGTGACCGAGCGCGGCAGGCAGGGCAGCAGCAGCGACGCTTCAAGCGGCTCGACCGCCCAAGTCGCAGGCGAGGCAAACACTGTCTCCTCCTCCGGATTCCCAACCTGCGATGGCGTCGCCGCCTCGGCCAGCCGGCAGACTAGCCGGTGCGAGTCCGCCTCGACGACCTCGCACGCCGCTGCCGCGTGCGCGCCTCCCACGCTCAGCTCGTTCTCCGACGCGACGGCGGAGAAGCCCGATCCAGAGACGGTGAGGAGGGCCCCGCCGTTGAGGCCGGAGCGAGACGCGGAGACGCGGTCGACGACGGGGTGGACGCGGAGCAGCGCGGCGGTCGCGCCCCCTCCCCAGCGCACCCGCCCGTGCGCCGCCGCCTCCGACGGCCCCCGACGCTCGACGCGCACCTCCATCTTGTGCCATCCCGCCACGAGGGAGCGAGGCACGCGGACGCGCAAGTGCCACTCTCCGGCGGAGCTTTCCGCGCGGCGGAGGACGGTGTGGTAGTCGTTTGGTCGGACCGGCGCGGCGCCGCCGCTGACGGGCTGTCCGTCCGGGCCGACAGCGGCAAAGACGACCGTGACTTGGGAGCGTGCCAGGTCGCCGTCTACGCCCGAGAGCGTCACAAAGAGGGAGTCTCCCGCAACCGCCTCGGCCGTGGCCGGAGCGGAGGACGCGAGCGGCCCTCGGGACGTGAGCTCGAAGGAGGCGTTGACGGTCAGCAGGGGCGAGTACGAGAGGCGGCAGCCCGGACATCCCGTCGTGGTCGGCTTGTTCTCCTCTGTCGTCTGGTGAAGCGTGACTGCGTGCGAGCCTGGGTCGGCCATTGGAGGCGCGACGCAGGCGACGCTCGTGCCCGCGGGGTTGGAGTGGGAGGGGTCGTGGACGCACGGCACGCCGCCGACCCGGATCTCAGCCAAGCCGCGGGCCGCCGAGGCGGCGTCGCCGCCTGGCTTCTGCAGGCCTCGAACGCGAACGATGAGGGTGGTGCCGCCGTGCAAGCCAACCTCGGACGGCGAGACACCTGCGCCGCGGGCGTGCGCGCTAAGAGGGCGTGCGGCGATGCGCTCGTGGCTTCGCATGGCTCGCTCGCTTGGGTGCACTGGGGTGGGGGTGCCCTCGGAGGTGGCGCTCGTACCGAGGATCTGTGGCGAAGCGGCGACCGCAGGGAGCGAGAGGATGAGCATCAGCGGCGGATGCATGCCGCGTGCGCGAGCCGAGGAGCGACTCGGCCTTGTCTTGCGCCACCAGACGGTGCACGGAGAGGCCGACGAGACGTGCGCACAGCCGCGACGCGCCGGGCCCGACGCGCCGTGATCGGTCCCGTGCTTGGATTTCTGGACTTCCTCTTTCGATGCGCCTGGACTTCAGCTGGTTTATCCGCAGTCTCATTCTTTTTTTGGTGTAACACTTCCGAGGGAAAACCAGCTGGGATTCCGAAGTCAGATTCTTTTTTGTTTCAACACTTCCAGTTCTTCCTCTCAAAATTATTTCTTCCTTCACAGAAAACAAAAAGAGAAAACCAAAGCATCGCTGACCTGTAAAGAAAGAAAGAAAAAACGACACGCCAAGGGAGGGATGGGAGGACGGCACACAGGACACAGGGATTTTAAGGAGAGGAGTGTGAAGGTTTCACCGCGCTAAGAGGGCGTGCGGCGATTGGGTGCACTGGGGTGGGGGTGCCCTCGGAGGTGGCGCTCGTACCGAGGATCTGTGGCGAAGCGGCGACCGCAGAGAGCGAGAGGATGAGCATCAGCGGCGGATGCATGCCGCGTGCGCGAGCCGAGGAGCGACTCGGCCTTGTCTTGCGCCACCAGACGGTGCACGGAGAGGCCGACGAGACGTGCGCACAGCCGCGACGCGCCGGGCCCGACGCGCCGTGATCGGTCCCGTGCTTGGATTTCTGGACTTCCTCTTTCGATGCGCCTGGACTTCAGCTGGTTTATCCGCAGTCTCATTCTTTTTTTGGTGTAACACTTCCGAGGGAAAACCAGCTGGGATTCCGAAGTCAGATTCTTTTTTGTTTCAACACTTCCAGTTCTTCCTCTCAAAATTATTTCTTCCTTCACAGAAAACAAAAAGAGAAAAACAAAGCATCGCTGACCTGTAAAGAAAGAAAGAAAAAACGACACGCCAATTGATTTATGCACAAATCTATGTGTTGCGAGCGCTAGATGGCGAAATTTTCTTCGCCTCCGGCGGGGCCGCTCGCCGCGGGGCTAGAGAGGGATTTTTGTCGATGTCGGCTAGAAGTGCTGCACCTTTTTGAGAATTTCACCCAATCACCCGAATACCACGTTCGGATCGCTCCTCATCGCAAACCCCGTCAGCAGTCCTCCTCCGGGAATGTGAACGCAAAATTCTCTTCGTGCCCAGTGTTGTGCCAGCGGTTGGCAATTCGTGTGTATCGCGCGCCTTGCGGGGGGGGCGCGGAAAAGAGGAACCTCTTAGCGCCATCGCCACGGTGCTGCATGCAGCGCCGGGCGACGACGGCTTACCGCCTCCCGGTCCCCCTCGGCACACCTCCGCTGCTCAACGTTTGACGGCTCGAACCCGTGAAGCTTCCCCGTGCGCGGGTTACCCCGCACACGGGTCAGCCTGCCACCCACGTATCCACGCAAGCGTGGTCCCCGTGCATGGCATACAGGCGTCCGCCGGGCAGCCTCAATTCTCTCTTTCGCCGCCGGCCCCGGCGCTGGACTGCCGTCGAGGTACGCAAATGATGTGCTCGGCCGAGCTGATCGGGGAACGCTTTGAGGTGAGGCTCGACCGCACGCTCGGGACCGGAGGCTTCGGCACGGTGTTCTTCGCTCTCGACAGGTCGGCGTCGCAAACGCTCGGTGTGGCAGCGAAGCGCGGCAGCGCGGCGGAGCTGCGCGCGGAGGCGCGGATGCTAGAGCAAGTGGCGGGACACCCGTCCGTCATAGGGCTGATTGCTTTCGAGGAGGTGCCCGGAGGCACGGCCTTCCTCTTCCTCGAGATTTGCAGCGGCGGCGAGCTCTTCGAGCGGGTGACCGACGGAGGGCCCATGCAGGAGCGTGTGGCGCGCTCCTTTGCGGAGAGCATCGCCGAGGCGCTCCGGCACTGCCTCTCGCGCGGCGTGGTGCACCGAGACGTCAAGCTCGAGAATGTCATGATCGTGGGCGAGGACCACCGGTCAATCAAGCTGATCGACTTTGGGTTTGCGTGCGAGGTGCCGCTCACCCCGGACGGCGGCGTCGCGCCCGCGCTGCGGTACGACGGCGTCGGCACTCCCACGTACATGGCGCCCGAGCTCTGGTCCGCGTCGTCCGGCTACCTCGCACCTCCGGTCGACTGCTGGGCGTACGGTGTGCTCGTCTTCACGCTGCTGTCCGGCTTCCCGCCCTTCGAGGCGGCTCTATCTCGGCTACATCTCGGCTACATCTCGGCTCTATCTCGGCTCCATCTCGGCTCCATCTCGGCTCCATCTCGGCTACATCTCGGCTACATCTCGGCTTCTCGCCCTTCCAGGCGGCGAGCACCGCAGGGCGGTACGCAGGGAACTGGAGGTGCGCCCCTACACACGAGATCACACGAGATCACACGAGATCACACGAGGTCACCCGAGGTCACCCGAGGTCACCCCGAGGTCACACGAGGTCACACGAGATCACACGAGATCACACTAGGTCACCCGAGGTCACACGAGGTCACACGAGGTCACACGAGGTCACACGAGATCACACGAGGTCACACGAGGTCACCCCGAGGTCACACGAGGTCACACGAGATCACACGAGGTCACCCGAGGTCACACGAGGTCACACGAGATCACACGGAGGTCACACGAGGTCACCCCGAGGTCACACTAGGTCACCCGAGATCACACGAGGTCACACGAGGTCACACGAGGTCACACGAGATCACACGGAGGTTACACGAGGTCACCCCGAGGTCACACGAGGTCACACGAGGTCACACGAGGTCACACGAGGTCACCCGAGGTCACCCCGAGATCAGGGACTGCAGGGATGTGGCGGCTGGCCACGGTGGCCACCAGAGCGCATGCCTTCTCCTGCAGTGGCAGCACGTGCTCCTCCCTCCTACCTGCAGGTGGAGCCGGTTCGTGCAGGGCGTCGCTGGCGGCGCGAGCGCCTGCGACGCCCTCTACGGCATGTACAACCGGCCCTGCCCCTTCTCGCCCCGCGCGCGCCAGTATTGCGACGGCTTGCTCGCCATCGAACGCCACCCGTAGATGCGCCATATCTCGGCTACATCTCGGCTATATCTCGGCTATACCTCCCGCCCCGACTCCCGCCCGCTCCCAACGCAGGACGCCGACGGCCGCGCCACACTCGCGCAATGCCTCGACCACCCATGGCTGACTAGCCAGCCGGCAGCAGGGCTGACCAGCCAGCCGGCAGCAGGGCTGACCAGCCAGCCGGCAGCAGGGCTGACCAGCCAGCCGGCAGCAGGGCTGACTAGCCAGCCGGCAGCAGGGCTGACCAGCCAGCCGGCAGCAGGGCTGACTCCGCCGCCCGAGCAGGCGAGATCACCTGAGATCGCCCGAGATCACCCGAGATCGCCCGAGATCACCCGAGATCGCCTGAGATCACTCGAGACCGCCCGAGATCACCCGAGATCGCCCGAGATCGCCCGAGATCACGCGAGATCGCCCGAGATCACTCGAGAAAGGAGAGGGCCTTGCTCGGCGCCGGAGCGGCAGGTCGCGCCGCCGCAGCGCAGCGGCGAGTCGAGCGCCGAGCTCCGCTGTGGACGGCGTCTCTTCACACCTCCTGCTGTGCGTAGCAGAGCAGCGGCGAGTCCAGCGACGACCTCGTCTACCGCACGGCGAGCGCGGAGCTGCGGCGGCCGCCCTCCGCCACCACCGCCTCGCCCGTCGAGGCCGCCGTCGAGGCCGCCGAGGACGAGGAGGTCCTCTACCGCACGGCGAGCGCGGAGGGCGGGCGAGGCGGCGGCGGGGGGAGGCTGGCCGCCCCCGCGCCCCCGGACGGGGCGCTGCGCCTCGTGAGGCAGAACGGGGTTGTGCTCGGCGCCGCTGCCCTGTAGAGAGGGGGGTGTTTTTGGACATAGCGTGCTATGAAGGTTGTCCTTCACGTACAACGTGAGGAGAGGGGGGACAGCAAGCAATACCCAAAATACGCGATCCACACACCACACTACGGCTCTACCGGCTCGCAGCGTTGGGCTGCTACCTGCTTGCTCGAACCCCATCGTCCGAGTTTCGTGCGCAATCTCGCGTGACGACAACTTCGCCCTGCTCCTGCTGCAGGCGCATCATATCGTCGGCGACGGGCCTTCTCGAGCCGACGTGCCGCCGCACCCAGTCAGCGTTCCGCCACAATGGTCAATGCCGCCGCATGCCGCCGCAATGTCAATTGCAATGCAGGTAGCGCAGGAGCGTACTGGTGCGGCAAGGAAGAGGCCGACCCACATGGGCAGACCTCTATTGGGCACGCCACGTGCACGACAGCATGCAACGTGGCGCGCAGAGAGACAGCTCCCCAAGCCGCCGCCGCCAAAGCATTGGGCCGAGGTGGAGCTGTCCGCATGGCTCGTGGACAAGGGCGATGTCACCGCGGAGGAGGCGGCCCGTGTTCCCAACGTCTGACCACCATGAAGGATGGGCGACCCAGTCCCCAGAGGCAAACCAGAGGCATGCCGAGGCAAACCAAAGGCAGGCTGCTGACAACCACAGTTGGCGACCTCAGAAGAGCACGACCGCCAGAGAGCCGTCCTGCGGAATGCGAAGAGCAGCGATAGCCAGAGAGCCGTCCTGCGGGAGAGCAGCGATAGCCAGAGAGCCGTCCTGCAGAAGAGCAGCGACCGCCAGAGAGCCGTCCTGCGGAAGAGGCGACCACTGTGGTCACCAGCGGTACGCCAAAGGTGCGCCACAGGCGTGTCACTGGTAAGCCGAGGCTTGATAGCCACCTTCGAGGCCTCTTGGTCAAGGCTTGTGAGCCATCTCGAGCGAGCCTACGTGGGCGAGGAGGCAATGGACCTCTGGCGCATCACAGAGCTCGAGATGACAAGCGTGGCGGGAGCAGCACCGCCTGTACAGGCGCTCGCATTGCCAGCCCGCCCCGCCCTCGCCCCGCCCCCCCGCCCGCCCGCCGGTGGCGGGCTCGTCCTGGCTGTTCCCTTTCAGGAATTGGCACTGGACGAGAGCTGGGGCGGCGTGGATGGAGACATCAACGGGAGCGGCCTGGGGGCGTGCTAGCATGCATGCACATACTGGATCAGCATCCGGGCGTCCCGGGGCCGTGCATCCTGAAGCCTGGCAAGCTGCAATGGGGGGCATTGCGGGGCCTGCAAGAGAGGCCAGCGGGGGCAACCATCGCCACCCCGCACCGCATCCCCTGCTGCTCCTCTGATTTTCGGGGATTTGTCCCGGCCGGTTCCCCCAGTCTCTCGACCATGAGAGAAATGCCGTCCGGCGGGCCACATGCGATGGGATCGATGTGAGATTGGAGCAGCAACTACACGCCTGGGGCAGCTACGGCCGCCACCTCCTACCGGGCGGCGACCCCAATTGATGGCTTTGTCAGGACCGTCTCAAGACGGGAGGCGAACGCTCGTTCAACATCAATCATAGAGATAGACAAACAATGATGCGGGAGTGTTAGAGTTGTTTGGTATTGAAAATCTCCCTCACTCTCTCTCTAGATAGACGACGCCCTCACCGGCGCTCCTGCGTCGTCGTTATAGAGGGGGCGATGTGCTACTCAAGCATGGTTGTGGCAGCAGTCCAGGTCGGGAGTGGCGGCGCAGATCGTACAGATCAGGTCGTGCACGCTGGATGGCACCGCGCGCTGATAATCTCTCGCCTTGCCGAGGGGCAGACTAGTCGGATGGCCGCTGAACTGGATGTCGGCCTCGCAGGTGCTGGGGCACGTCTCTTTCACGAGTGCGACCTGCTCTGCAAAGCGCTGATTGTCGTGGGAGTGTTCGCAAAGACCAAAGCCGTGCGCCTGCTCACAGGTTGGCACAAATCCCGCCGGCTCCAAGCAAGCAGCGGGTCGGCTCGGCGGTGGAGGTGGACTCGCGATGTGTCCCTCCACAACCCCGGTGGCTGACGACGACGAGGCAGACGAGCTGCTGCCACCACCCCCTCCCCCGCTTGCGGCGGCCGCTGCAGCAGCGGCCGAGGAGGCCCCACTGGCGGATGCAGCACTAGAGGATCCGGTTGCTGACGACGACGAGGCAGACGAGCTGCTGCCACCACCCCCTCCCCCGCTTGCGGCGGCCGCTGCAGCAGCGGCCGAGGAGGCCCCACTGGCGGATGCAGCACTACCAGAGGATGACGCGGCAGTGGAGGAAGTCGCACCGCACACCAGCAACAGAAGGGCGTACGGCTGCAGCACTGCGCGCCGGCCCGCCGCGTTGCTGTGGATCAGCCGCATGCCAGAGACATTCGCGCCGGCCGCGGCTTTTCGCACTTTCGGGCCAGAAGTTGAAAATGGGCGAATCTCCGATTACGTGCGGTCCCGTTTCGTCGCCGCGTTATATGGATCTCGCCACGCTCCTCCGGTCGATCTCGATTTCGCAAAAAACTAGAAGAGCAGTTTAAGTCTAGCACTTGAGCACTTGGGCATTTGATAGGGTCGATTCCGCATGGTACGGGACCCCTCGATCGATCGTCTCGCCCTAAGTCTAGCAGCTACTAGGCGAGGGAGGCGGAGAGGCGAGCAGCAGAGGAGGCGCAGCTTGCTTGCTTGCGGAGCAGCGGGCGGGTGATGTGTGTCGTGTGTCTCGCGCCTTGCGGGGGGGGGGGGAGCGGAAAGGAGGAACCTCTTCCCAAGAGCACCACTCTTGGAGCGCCGCCACTACCACCCAGAGCGCTGCAAGCAGCGCCGGGCAATGACGGCTTACCGCCCACCCAGCCCCCCCTCGGCACACCCCGGCAGCCAATGTGTGACGGCTCGAACCCGCTAAGCGGTGCCCGGCAGGGGCGGGTGCCCCCACCCCGAGGGGTGGGGGCGGGGTCGGGGTCCAACGTGACCCGGCCCATCGCCTCGGCATGATGGTGGCGGCGGAGCGCAAGGCCGCTCAGGGGCAGAGACGGAGCGGCGCGAGAAGGTGTGGAGGCCGCCAACAGGAGGGCGGAGGAGGAGAAGGCGAGGCGGCGCGCAAAGGCGGCGGAGGCAACTGCAGCCAAGAAGGAGGCCAAGAAGTTGGAAAAGCGCCCCCTCCCCGCCTCGGCGTCGGCGACGGGTGCATGGGCAGCTGCAGCCGCCTCCTCGTGGGCGAGCTCCGTTCGCTGCCTCAGCCAGCATCCCCGGCATCCGTTTATGAGGCCTGCCGGCAGCTTGTTGCGCTCTACTTTCAGACGAACAGCGAAATTGATATCTTTACACGGGGTTTTGGCCCCTTTTCGCGTCCAGCCCAGTGGCGCTCACCGACTTGGCGAGAGCGCTCGGCGCCACCGACGCCACGCTGTCCGACGTGCTCGGGCTGGAGGACGATCTACTGGCGCTCCTTCCTTCGCCGTGCCTCGCACTGATCCTCATCTATCCCACGGTCAGCGCGGCAGAGAGCTTTTTTGGCAGAGCGTTGCGAGCCTTCGAAGCGTCGCCCGGTCTTCCTGCGGCAGCGTGTGGGCGGCTCGTGCGGCACCGTCGCACTCCTCCACGCGCTCTCCAACAGCACGCCGGCGCTCGCTGTTGAGCCGGGATCGCCACTAGAGGAGCTCCTCTCCACGCCAGAGCCGGGCGACGGCGAGGCGGCGCTCGTCGCACGACACTCCGAGTGGCTGGCGAACTCGACTGCGGTGCGGGCGGCGCATGAGCGGTGTGCGGAGCTCTCTACCGCGGCTGCAGCGGCGGGGCGTCAGGGCCGGCACTACGTGGCGCTGGTCCGGATAGGCGCGCAGCGCTGCGCGTCCATGCTGTCGCTCCCCGCGATAATGATGATAACGCTCTGGCTACTGACGACGCCAGTGCTCCTGAAAAGGACCACGCCGGATGTGTGCGCGCTCTCACGGAGCACGCAACGGCACTGAGGGAGGCCGAGGCGGCAGAGAAGGCGCTCGAGGCCAAGGGGCGGCGCGAGCAGCGCGAGCGGGAGGCGGCGGCGGCGGCGCGGGAGCGCGAGCAGGCTGCGCGCCGGCGCGAAGCAGAGCGAGAGGCGCGCGAGGCGCGCCGGGCGGCGGATGCGGCGGCGCTGGAGGAGCAGAGGCGAGCCATTGCGGCAGAGGCGGAGGCGAAGCTGGCTGCTGAGCGCGCGGCAGCAGAGGAGACGCTGCGGGCGAGGGAGGTGGAGAGGCGAGCAGCAGAGGCGGCGCAGCTTGCGGAGCAGCGGGTGGCGGCGGCGGAGCGCAAAGCTGCTCAGGCAGGGACGGCGCGAGAAGGAGGCTGCTGACAGGAGGGCGGAGGAGGAGAAGGCGAGGCGGCGCGCAAAGGCGGCGGAGGCAACTGCAGCCAAGAAGGAGGCCAAGATGAAGAACAATAAGGCCAAGAAGGCGCCGCCTGCCTTCAAGCTCGAGGAGGAGCGGAGGGCGCGGGCTGCGGCAGAGGTTCGCGCACAGGAGGAGAGGGCGGCGCGGCTGGCTGCTGAGCAGGAGGCGGCGAGGCGGGCGAAGCGGGAGGCGGCGGAGCTAGCGGGTGCGGCGGAGCAGGCGGCGCTGCGCGAGGCTGCGGAGCTAGCAGAGGCGTTTCGCCGGTCAGAGATAGATGCGGAGGAGGAGGCTCTGGCGCGCCGGGTGTCGCGGTGCGAGGAGGCGGTGAGCAGCGAGTCGGCCGGCGGCGGGGACCTGATGCGGCGTGTCGACCGGCTGGAGGCCAGCTTGGGCGCGGCGATCGAGGGTCGCCTCAAGGAGCGGGTCGGCGCCATCGAGCGCTTGATCGGGCCAGAGGCAGCCGAGGCGGCGGGGCAGCATCTGCCAGTCACCGAGCCGCTTGCTGCCGTCTCGCTAGCGGACGCCGGCCTCGACACGGGGCGGCCGGCCCCCGAGTCCACGATGGGGGGAGAGACCACGTGTATCGTGTGTTTTGCGAGAGTCAAGTCGCATGCTGCGGTTCCGTGCGGGCACTTGTGCGCTTGCGGGCCATGCTCTGAGCTGATGCGAGAGTGCCCTTACTGCCGCTCGAGCCAGTGATGATGTGGATGGTCCCGCGCCCCCAGTCTAGATTCCTTTACCCCTCTGGGGCCAGAATGATGCATGTAAGAGTTGTGAGAGCGATATATGTCGAGGGTGCACACACAGGACACAGCGTAGAAATCCAAAATATGTGAGGAAAGTAAGAACGATTTCCCGCACGAACGACGCGCGCGCAAAGCTCTTAGAGACTAGGTTTTTCCGCGCGCGCCCAGCGCTCAGAGCGGCTCGCTCACGCGCAACTCCACGTCGTCGACGTCGGGGAGGAGGGGGAGCAGCTCGAGCGGCGGCGGAAGGGCGGTCAGCAGCACCGACTCGCCGCTCGAGGGCGCGTGGCACGAGACGCGCACGTGCGGCCCGAAGCCGTGCTCGACACGAAGCATGTGCAGCAGGTCTGCCAGCGACTGGCCTGGCGCGAGGGCGACCAGGCCGCAGGGAGGCGGCGTCTCCCCACCGCCGCCGCCCGGAGGCAGCTTGACGACGGGCACGTCGCGCAGCGCGGTGGCGAACTCGTCGACGGCGAAGTTGGCGTGCCACTGCGCCTTGTTGCCCTTTGGAGCGACGATGGCGGCGCCCGCTTGCTCGGCGGCGATCAGCGAGTTGGCGCGCGCGAGGGCAACCTATGGCGACCATATCGCCATGTCACCACCGCCACCACCGCCTTCCAGTGTCGCGTCGTCGGCGCGCGAGAGCGCTGGCCTTTGCGCTCGCCGAGCGCGACGTCTTGATCTCTTGCCACAGCACCTCCTGCTGCGCCAGCTGCGCCTTCTCCTTCATCGAGGTGCGGCGCGAGCACGTCACCTGAGCCACACGCACCGCCACCTCCCCCACCGCTCGACTCATCTCTCCCCATCTCTCCCCATCTCTCACCTGAGCCACACGCACCGCCACCTCCCCCACCGCTCGACTCATCTCTCCCCCAGCTAGATCTCGGCTGATCTCGCCGCCTGGATCTGGCACAGCCCCAAGTGGTTGTTTGGGAGTCGGCAGCCCATGTTGCCGCAGATCGAGCCGGCCCGCGGCTCGCCCGCGCCGCCCGCCGCCCCCTCCTCCTCCTGCGTGATGAGGACGCCCACATGAGGGCGGGAAGACGGTGCTGTGCAGCGTCCTCTGAGCACCGCGCGGGAGGGCGAGGGAGGCGAATACGGCAACACGGCGGAATACGGTTGGATACAGGCGGAATGCGCCTCCTCTCGGGCGCTGGTTGGGAGACAAGAATGCGCGTGTCTTCTTCTAGGCCCCCTCCTCCTCCTCGCCGCTGAGAGGCTGCCTCTCAGGGTAGTACGACCAGAGCGGCGGCCTCGGCCGCACGGCGCGCAACGGCAGCCAGGACCAGTTGGCGTACCGGTCGTACTCGAACAGGACGCCCTTGAGCGCGTCGAGCTCGCGCACGCACCCCTCCCACCAGCAGTCATTCCACAAGCCCTCCACCCGCTCCCCCACTCGCGGGGTCCATGGCGCACCTGCGCCGCAACGGTGTGTGTCGTCAGGCCGCTAGAGCGGCGCTCTCGGGGGAGGGGCTCCTCCTTCCGCTTCTCCTTCCCCCCCCTGCAAGGCGCAAGACACACACGTCGCCCCTTCGACTCTCGAGGGTTGCCCGAGGGGAGAGATGGGGGAGATATGGGGAGACTCGCGAGGGATGCCCGAGACTGCGCCCCCCTCAAGCGCACCGTGCGGCGGCAGGATCTCCCCCATATCTCCCCCATATCTCCCCCATATCTCGCCCTCAAGCGCACCGTGCGGCGGCTGGATCTCCCCCATATCTCCCCCATATCTCCCCCATATCTCGCCCTCAAGCACACCGTGTGGCGGCGGGACCAGCCGCAACCTCTCCAACTCGAGCCTCTCCACGAGCCGCGAGCCAACCTCGTCCACAAACTCGGCGAAGCGGACCATCGCGTGGCGTGGCCCATCCAGCACGAGCACCTGTCATTATTCTCATCACTCTCATTAGGAGTATCATTCTTGTTCTTCTTGCGCCCATCCAGCACGGCACCTCTGCCGCCGTCCACGAGCCCTCGAACCCCTTCCCTCTCCACGCGACCTCCACGGCGTCACCCGGCCGCCAGCGCGGCCGGAAGGAGCCCCTGCCCTGCACGCGCGCCATCGCTTGCTCATACGCCTCCTCGCACGATGGCCGTCCGGGCGGCTCCTTAAGCCACGAGACGCCGCAGTAGCGAGGGGCGGGGCTCGCCGCCGCCGCGGGGATCCGCCGGAGCGGCGCCGCCGGCGCCGCCGCCGCCGACTGCCGATGCGCGTCTGAGGAGGCCGCGGAGGAGGAGGCTGAGGAGGCGGCCGCGGCGGCCGGCCCTGGCTCGCCGTTGCGGCGCTCGCTGAGGCCGCCGGCCGTGTCGCCGCCGCCGCTCGCCGCCGCGGCCGCCCGCCCGCCCGGCGCGATCCGCTTCTTGCTCGCGCGCCTGCCGCCCGCCCCGCCCTTGCCTGCGCTGCTGCCGCCGCCGCCTGCGCTCGCCGGCCGCTTGCTGAGCGTCGGCGTCGGCGGGCGAGAGCCGTTATTGTCGGAGAAGTGCGCCGAGGCGCGTGGCTCCGTCGCCGGCCCCGGCGGGTCGATCGCGGTGTTCGGCTGCAGCAGAGGGTCCGTCACCTCGCGGCACTGCGGGCAGCGGACATAAAAGTGTCTCTTGCCGGCCGCCGCGCTGCAGTCGCCGTGGTCGCGCGGGATGGTGACCTCGGAGACAGTGCTGCATTTTGGGCAGCTCAGGCGGATTCGTGTGCCGGGCAGCAGCTCTGTTGACGACGTCATCGAGGGCCACAATCAGGCCGCACAAAGCTTGCAGAGAGGGGTGCCCGGGGCGCCGAGAGGTGCCTGTGGCGGTCAATGGCGGACGGGAAGAATTTTATCGGCATTGGGCACGGGACTGGCGCGCACTGGCACTAACACAGGTACACCAGAAGAATTTTACCTCGACACGGACAAGCAATGGTCCCAGCCTCGACAGGCCTCGACAGGCCTCGACAGGCCTCGACAGGCCTCGACAGGCCTCGACAGGCCTCAACATCCAGCCATGTCTACTCGCTTAGTGTGGGTAAACCATAGTACCGTTCGCACAGAGGGCACGCGAGGTGCGACCGTGCCCGGCCGTGCTATTAAAGCGACTCGGCTCTCTAACAGGCTGCAGCCCAGAGCCACACGGAGTCTACGCGCATCGCTTGTGCATAGCCTCGACCAATCTCCTGTTCACGGTGGAACCGTGAACAAAGAGCTTCTTCGAACCGTTACAAACACGACGCGAGCCGCCCAGCAGGGAGCCTGGGCTACTCGCTTTGACGCTGGCCAGGCCGGAGGCGAGTGCCGCCGCCAGGCCACGACCGACCGCGCCCGTCCTACGGACGGGCGCAATGGGCCAAACGGATCCGCGCCGCAGTGCGTGCAGCGCTGCGCCGCCAGTCCAATACATGCAAACCGCAGGCTTTGCAGCGAGGACCAGCCTGCTCAGCTTCGAACGAGGAGCCAGCAGCCAACAGGAGGACAGCAGTCGTCCACGCCAGCTGGACTGCGAGGACCGCCCCAGCCGCAGGTGGCCCCATACGTAATGCTTTGCGCAAAGCACCGTGCAAAAATGGCGTCTTTACATGGCCATGCAGCAAGCAGTGCCGCCAGATGAGCACACGGCCATGGGCGAAGTGCACCCGCAGGGCCAGCTGGCATTGCGTGGTGCACTCGCAAATCAACCCGCCCTCTCGTGCCAAGGTCGGCGCGAGGGGAGCGCGAGCATCCACTAGCAGCCGTCTGGCTGCTGGTGTGAGCCATACTCAACACGCCGCGCGGAGCGGAGTGCGGAGCCATGAATGAGCAGTAGAGCCTGCGCCTCGAGGCACGGCCTGCGGCTCCTACCCTGCCGTCGGCCCGCCACTGGCGGCGTCGAGGACAGTTCGAGACGGTGTGCGGTGTCAGCCTGCAAGGCGCACTGCACTCGAACTGCGATAGTGGAAGCACCAACACGGCCCTCGGGCTGTTTGGGGACCCGGACGCCAGCGGCCCCCCGGGAGAGGGGTGTCCTGGTTGTGTCTTGTTTGAGTGCCAGCGCACGCAGCTATCTTAACGGCGTGAGGTCAGCAAGAACCCTCGCGGCGTCATGCAGTCTGTGAGGGTGTGTGCCTGCACGGATTGCACAAGTAACAAATCACTCCTGTCGGCATTCCTCCGGAATGGGGCGACAGAACACGTGTTATTCCGTAGTCGGGATGACCACAAATCGCCAGGGCACTCAAGAAGATCGGTGTGCCGACCCTTCACAACGGGCCGCCCGCAAGGACGCGTGTGCGGCCCTCTCTACTCGACCTGTGCCACGGCGCGGGTCGTTCTAGTCATGCAGCCGCCCCGGCGATCGTGCTCGGGGCGTATCTCAGCACTCACCGCGCGAGACGCGTGGCGTGCCACAAACCAGTAAGCAGCAGCCTCCGCTGCTGCGACTCGAATGCTTCAAACGCGCAACTGTGCTCTCGCACGGCGTGCTCTACACGAGCCTCCCTACCGCACGAGCGCGCGGGCGGCTCGAATCCACCCTCCCCCCGCCCTAGCCACTGTTGGCTGGGCGGTGGGCGCCGTCCGCCTTGCGGCGGCGGCGACACTTGCAACACGAGCACACCTCGCTTCGGTGTGCCGACCCTTCACAACGGGCCGCCCGCAAGGACGCGTGTGCGGCCCTCTCTACTCGACCTGTGCCACGGCGCGGGTCGTTCTAGTCATGCAGCCGCCCCGGCGATCGTGCTCGGGGCGTATCTCAGCACTCACCGCGCGAGACGCGTGGCGGGCCACAAACCAGTAAGCAGCAGCCTTCGCTGCTGCGACTCGAATGCTTCAAACGCGCACCTGTGCTTGCGCACGGCGTGCTCTACACGAGCCTCCTTACCGCACGAGCGTGTGGGCGGCTCGAATCCACCCTTCCCCCGCCCTAGCCACTGTTGGCTGGGCGGCGGGCGCCGTCCGCCTTGCGGCGGCGGCGACACTTGAAGCGGTCGCGGCGCGTATGCGTCGTACTGTTAGGGCGGCCGGGCCCGAAGACGGCCCGGCCAGGCTCTACATAAGGCCATCTTCGCCACAACGCGTGGCATTGGTCCAACTACGGCAACCCACAGCGAGGGGGGCCGCTTAGGCGACCTTGCTCACATCAGCTGCATATGCTTCAGTGGTGCAAGGAGGAGTGGAGAGGGACCTTTGACGGTGTATGGCCCATGCGGGTCGGCACGTACCTAGTTGTGCGCATATGCGTACGCGACCGTTTTGGAGCGCGGGGCGGCGGCGTCGATAGATATCGACGCCGCCGTCGCCGCGCATCATGACGAGTTCGCATTCCCCATGTGACCCTCTATACCTCACCTTCGAGACAAGCCAGGGTTCAACCCAATGGACCTAGTGTGGCGTCGAGGCCCGCACTGTCTGGACATGCGGGCCGCGGCTGACAGAACGGCGGGCTAGGCATTGAGAGCCCCGGAGTTTTAATATACGGTACTATGAACAGAGAAGCCCAAAAAAAGTCGCGGCGGCAGTCCACGCCGAGCCGGCCTGCTGCCGGCTTGCACGGCAGCCTTTTCCTCTCGACCAGCCTCAACTTCCGTACAGTCAACATTTTGTCGCTGCGTGCTCGTGGCGAGCTGTGGCGGCGGTCGAAGTTGGCCCAGATTCGACGACGAGCGCCGGACGATAGTACCGCCTCTGTTCGCCCTGTGCATGTCAGACCAGGCTGCAGCAGGGCACTACCATCGTGCTGCCCTGCTGCAGCCTGGCCCTGCCCACTGTGCACAGCCGCCAGAGCACCACCACCGCCCGGCATCGTGTCACGGCGAGCTCCTTCTGCGCCCGCTCGCGAGGCTCTCGCGCTGGCACACTTTGGCCATCTGCTGCTCGCGTTCGGCGAGCTCTTCTCCGCAATCCTGCCACGGTGCCGCCACCACACACCTTCTGGCCGGCCTGAGCCGCGCGGACTCGCCGGCGGGGGCAACGTGTCGACCTCTCTCTCTGGTGCACCACGGGCCGCAACGGCCTGCTAGCAGCGTGCGCGAGGAGGCATTGTGCCGGCACAGTCGAGCCGGAGCATCGGGTTCTTGATGCTCTTGGGGTCAAGTCTGACCTTATGCGGCCTAATATGCAACAATAAGGCTATGCTATCTCCCGGATTTTTGAGATATGATCCCTCAAAGTCGAATTATGGTTTACTGGTGACCATAGTACCGTCGTGTCTGTTCGCGTTTCTTCCGACGAATACTTTAAAGTCTCGACAATCACTAAGCTGCTTATGTGGCACCGCAGAGGCTCCCTTGGGGATGCCTGAGGCCACCCCAACCACTCACCAAGCCTTACGTGGACGAATTCAAACCTACTTTTATGGTTTACCCACAGCCACACTAGCGAACGAGCGCGGGCCCTCGGCACCCAGCGTCAGCACCGCCAGCGCCTCGGACGTCTTCTCGTCGAGGGCCGCGACGATCCGCCCCCGCCGCCTCGCCTCCACCTGCCCGGTGCGAGAGGCGGCCCGAGCCTGCGCCCGCGCCTGTCGGAGCGCCTCTTGCGCGCGCTCTGCACGACACCGCTGGCTCGCCGCCCGCCACACGGAGAGACGGCGCCGGAGGCACGCGCGAACCGCGAGAGAGCGAGCCGCCTGCTCGCCCGCGAGCCGCCGGGCCTCGGCCTCGGCGGCGGCGCGGCGCTGCGCGAGCCCCTCGAGGACGTCGGTCGGCTGCGCTTCCCGCCAGCCGACGAGGCCGCCGCCCACGACCCTGCAGCCCCGCGCCGCGGCCGTGGCGTAGTCTGCCGCCTTGAGCCATCCGCGCTCTGGCGGGAGCGGCGAGGTGGGCTGCGGCGGAGGGGGCGGCGCGGCGGGCGGCGGCGACGGAGAAACCCCGAAATTCTTTTTCCGAGCGGTTTCCTCTTTGAAGCATCACGATGAAGCGCAGAAGGGCGCCGGAGGTGGAGGTGGGCATCTCGGAGTCGGCCGACAGCGTCTCGGCGCTCAGTGCCATCTCCGCGCTGCAGGCGATGGCGCGGCTCCACCTCCCTAATTGCACGGTATGCTCGCTCACGCCCTTTGAGCGTCTCTCCGCCGCAGGAAATGGCGTGCTCCCCGCACCGCATGCACTCGTCCAGCAGCGTGGGATCCATCAGCGGCGGCCGTACCCTGCCGCCGCAGCGCTCTCTATTCGAAGCGGCCAATCCCACCGCCGCTTCGGCAGAGGGCGTCGACAGTGACGGCTCCACCGCCGCCACTCTCCTCGTGGTTGGGTTTGACGTCCCCTCGCCGCGGAGCGCGTCGCCGACGTCGCGACAGGTGCCCCTAGACCCCGCCTCAGCCCCACTCCCCCGCCCCGCAAACCCTCCGTTCGACCGCACCGCCACCACGCTTGTGCTCCGGCGGTCCGCTCGACAGACTGTCTGTGCGTCGACAGGAGGTGCCGTGGCGGCAGCGGCGGCCGCAGCGGCAGCGGCGGCCGCCGGACCACGGACCGTCGCCCGGGCGGCAGCGCGGGCGGGGCGCGGGCGGCGCGGGCGGCACGTCAAAGGGCAGCGGGGAAGACGACGGCGCGGGGAGGGCTGCCGATGTTGCTGGTGTGGCCGGCGCGAGGGCGGCGGAGGGCAGAGGCTGCGACGAGGCGGGTGGCGGCGGCGAGAGGCCCGGGCGGCGCGCGAGCTGCCCGTGGTCCGTGGAGGAGGACTCGCTGCTGCGCCGCGCCGTCGCAGAGAAGGGGCCGGTGGGCTCGAGACACTTCCGAGACACTTCTTGGACACCTCCTGGACACCTCTAGACCACTTCGTCGCGCCGTCTCTCTCTCTCTCTCTCTCTCTCTCTCTCTCCCTCCCTCCCTCCCTCCCTCCCTCCCTCCCTCCCTCCCTCCCTCCCTTCCTCCCTCCCTCCCGCTGACCTCCCTCCCTCCCTCCCTTCCTCCCTCCCTCCCTTCCTCCCTCCCTCTCGCTGACCTCCCTCCCGCTGACCTCCCTCCCGCTACCGCTGAGTTCTCCCTCACCACAGCCTCCTCCCCGCCCGCTCCTTTCCAAAGCGCCGCCGCCCCCACCGCTCGCCGCTAGTCCGCGCTTGCTCCCCGCTCGCCCGCCCCCACCGCCGCCGCCGCCGCCCCCCCTCTGCAGAAGCGCTGGTCCGAGATCTCGAGATATCTCCCCCATATCTCCCCATATCTCCCCTCTGCAGAAGCGCTGGTCCGAGATCTCGCCATATCTCCCCCATATCTCCCCATATCTCCCCTCTGCAGAAGCGCTGGTCCGAGATCTCGAGATATCTCCCCCATATCTCCCCATATCTCCCCTCTGCAGAAGCGCTGGTCCGAGATCTCGAGATATCTCCCCCATATCTCCCCATATCTCCCCTCTGCAGAAGCGCTGGTCCGAGATCTCGCCATATCTCCCCCATATCTCCCCATATCTCCCCTCTGCAGAAGCGCTGGTCCGAGATCTCGCAGCGGGTGCCCGGGCGGAGCGGCAAGCAGTGCCGGCTGCGCTGGTGCAACCAGCTCGACCCGAGCATCCGGCGCGCGGGGGCGGGGCTGTAGAAAAGGGGGAGAGAGGGTGGGTGGGTGGC